ACAAAGTTGCGCCGGCTCGGCTCTGTCTTCTGGCCACTGATTGAAATTCTTAGCCCGGCTGCTGGCAGCCGCTTGTAATTTTCAGCATCATCTCCGGATTGGGCTGAGCCGGGGCGTTGCCTGTTGCCTGTTGGCTGTTGGCTGTTGCCGGTTGGTTGTGTTCACTTTTCATTATAGTTGTTATTATTATTATCAAAATCATCTATGCGTGCCTGCTGCACAGCTCCGTCTGCGTTTGCTCATCCCACTTCCTTCGCCCTGCAGCCCAGCATCCTTCATATTTCATCCTTTAGCTGCCTTCATTGTCAGTTGCCAGTTGCCAGTTGCCTTTCTATGTGAGGTATTCAACGTAACGTTTTGTGCTCCTGCAGCAGTATTCTTATTTTTGTTGCGGCAGGAAATACAATTCATTTGGTTGCTGCTGTTGCTGAAATTTCTCATTGGCTTGCCAATAATTTTTGCTTATATTTTTTCATCATTTCTTTTTCAATATATACAAAATGTATTTGTGCACTGCAGTTGAGCTTTTTGATTAGTTTTCTGCACGAACATATTCCAATGTGGGCTATTGATTGTAGATTCTTATTCTCGATCCACTTGCTGCCTAAATCAAAGTATTAGCAAGAAATTCGAATTAAAACACATTTGATTTGTTTAGCTCAGCAAAAATGAACAACCAATTTTTTTAAGCCTTATTTAAAAGCTTTGTTTGTTAGCGTTACTTACAGCATACTTTCAGGCCTGGCTTTGAAATTGCAGCTTTAACAGCGCGCAGATCTCTGTTAACAGCTGTTAACTTAGCAGCATCGCTATCCTTGTCTGCGCTGCCCATTTGTCGCACTGCTCTTACTGCTTTCTCAAGTTTCCAATGTTGACCATTGTGCTGCCGGCCTCTTCACTCTTTGACGTTTTTATGCGCACTGTTCCAGTGCAAAGTTATGACACTTTACATTGTTAGCACGTGGCAAACTTCTTGCGTCATATCTTTTTCTCTGCTTATTTTGCCGTTATTGCTGCGCGGCGCTGATTGAATGGAATCTGTGGTCTCACACGTGTGTTTGTGCTTACATGCATGTGTGTGTGCGTGTGTCTGTTTGTGAGCGTTTTCATGTTTGTTTGTTCGTTTGTTGTCGCCGCTTGTTAAACGCCAGAAATTTTTCAAGCTGCAACTGGCAAATAAAACTCTTGTTTAAGTATGTGTGTGTGTGTGAGAGAGTGTGTGTAGTTATGTGTGCTTGCGGTTATTGCTGCGTCTCTCACCTGCTCCACTTGGCCATAGATAAGAGCAATTTGACTGCTGCACAATCACCACCAAATTGTCGCCCATTAGCACTGAGCAGTCAGTCCAAACAGCCAGTCAAATAGTTAGCCATGACACGAACCCATGTCAGGCGACAGCTCCTGAAGAACTTTTTCATATTTACACTTGCCAACAGGTAAGCAATTAAATATTTTTAATAAATTTGTGACCCTTAAATAGGAGAAAAGAAATGTTTGCAGATGTTGATGCCGCAACCCGCGCAGCGTAACAGCAACATATACAGCTACGGTCCCGAGATCAATCTTTAACTTTGTCTATTTTTTCTAGCCCCTAAATCTTGTTTTTGCAATCTAATCGGCTAACATAATAGCACGTGAATTTTTATATAATTATAAAAGTCTGCGAGTAGGTATCTCAGCCGCATCTTAAGTAACCCATCCTAGCCGACGTTATCGAGCCGGAACCAACGCGTGCTCCGCTAGGCGCTACACGGACATCAGCTCGCTTGCATACGTTTTATGTTAGAAATTGATGCAATAAAGAATTTCTAGGATTTCTTTGGTTTATTAATAGAGCAAGCCAAGTTATTCCCCTATTTAATTTTTGTTCACTTAGTTAGAGCATATGAGATTCGTTCTAGTTGGCAATTGACAAGTGGTCGCTTTTCTTGTTCCAGCTGTCCGAACAGCCCGAACAGCTCTTGCTTTCGCCAACACCCGCTTCACTTCATTCTTGCGTTGGGTGTGTGTCGCCGTGTGTGGGAGCGGGGTGTGTGTGTGTGCTTTTGACATTTTTGCGTTCATTTTTGTGTGACAAGTTTTCTGTGGTTCACTGGGGCCACTTTACGGCATGTCAGGACCTCTTTGGCAGACAGCCGGCCTATTTCACACTTTTATAGAAAATTTTTGCCAATTGTCTGGCGACGTGGCGGCTCGTGCGACGTACTCGTGGTTAGCACGATTTTTTCTCCCCACTTTCTGTACGGAAGTTTGCGCAATTTTCAAAGCGGAAATGCAATTTTCGGTTCAGCTGCATTTGTCTCGCAGTGCCGCCGCCCGAGCGCCAGGCCAACCGACCGCCGACCGCCCGCCCGTCCGCCCGTCCGCCCGACAACTGGGCGGCTTGCCAACACTTCCAAATCGTATATCAAACGCAGAGTTGGCAGCCCCTGACAATGACATGCAGCGGCAGCGCCAAGCCCAAAAAGGCCGACGACAACGCTGAGAATGGAAATGTGGGCATGGCTGGGGGTAGGAGGTGGAAAATGCCGCCGCTGGCAGAAAAAAAGAATAGGAAAAACTTAAAAGCGTCGCCAATAGTTGCACCAGGAGCTATTTATTGTTGCTGTTGTTGTTGCAGTTGTTGTTGTTGTAGTATGTGTTACGCCTTTTGTGGCGTGGCATGAAAATATATTTCACACGCTTTTTTATGCAACGAGCGAACGAGCGAATTTCTCGACAACTCGGAGAAATGTTTGTTGTATGCTTTTGCATGCCGAATGAATTGTTGAAATACTTTTATTTATTTGCATATAAATTATTCAATTGTTCCTTGGCTTATCTTTCTGGCTGGCCTCCACACTTGCAGCCCCCTCGTGGAGTCTATCAAAATGCTGAATGCATTGTGGACTGCAATTGATTTCTGATATCATATATCTGCGTCCAAAGTGGGCGTGGCGATGCGATAAATTTTTGATTTATGCTTGCGTATTTGGCACAAGTTAAATAAAATTGCATTTGCATGCAGTTGCAGTTGCCGCCAGGGCCAGGGCAGAGAAAAGAGGAGCAAAGGTCTTAGGACGCGCAGTCGGAGGGTGGAGGAAGGGAGGGTGGAGTAGGACCTGCCAATTTATGTGTGTCAGAAGAAGCGTATTGAGAGGAATTTGCCTGTAGCAGCACAACGCTCGAATTAGTGTTGAGAATTTTCAATTTGCTGCATTCGCATGAATTTCAAATCCGAAATTACAAATAATAATTTATTTCAGTCTCTCTGCATTCAAGGCATGCCACTTCATCGATTAAGCTGCATATTTTAGGGTAATTTCAACCTGCAAAAACGTGGCCATAATGTATATATATATATATATCCTTGTTAATGTTGTTTTGAGAAGTGCAAATAAAAATATATTATTTACTTTGTTGGAATTTTTCTTTTTATTTAAAATCCACATTTTGTTTAAAGACAATCATTAAATTTTGTTAGCACTGCTAGACATTTTAAGTTTTAAGCATATAATGAATTTTGTCTAATATCAATTAAATGATAATGTAACTAAATGCTTACCACCTGACAGGCTCGATGTTGAGCAAGGACCTCAAGCTAATATAAAAGAATTTTATATAAAGAGCCTCGAATCGGAATTTCTAATTATTATTTTAGTTTGAATTGATTTTTGATTAATAAAACAACAAAATTACCTAACAAATGTATAAAAAAACAAAAGTGTTTAAATATCCCAATTAAATGTGATATTTAGATATTCATACGAGTATTCATGGTTAACATTTCTCTATTCGCTAGAGTGTCTGCTTTTGGAGACAGGAGCTGCACTTAACCATTTTATACTCTTTATGGCGTTTATGAACAACATGAATCAGGGTAAGGCACTTGGGGTCCATTGTCATAACTTTTCAAAATGTCCCCCATTCGCCTCTCCACATTCGCCATTTGCCACTTGCCACTCGGCGGGCTGCTGTAGTGCTTCCGTTTCCGCCAACACGTACGCTAAACGGTTTGTCTGCCTGGCAGCCAGAGCTGGTTCCTTCTGCTCCTGCTCCTGCTGCTGCTGCTGCTGCTGCTCCTTGACTATTGACAGTTTGCTGCCGTCAGATGTCAACTGCAGTCGTCGTGGGTCGACGTGCCCTGCGCTGGGGCTGTGTAAATATTTGCGAGGCTGTTTTTTATTTTGTCGCCCGCCTAAAAGCATGCTTCAATAACATTCAAAAGATGTCGTACGTGTGGACCCAGCGCTTGTCACCAAAAATATTTCTAATATCTTGAGCTACATGTGTTGTAAATTTATTAGCTGTCATATAAATCTTTGCACGCTGCCGCCCTCTGTCGGGCGTTGGAGCAGCAGACGTGCCGCCATTTTAAAATTGAGACCCGGCTCGGGGCTGTTGTGGGGGCCTGTTTGCTGCCAGTTAAAGATAAGGCATTCGGGGGCAGCACAACCCTTCGTGTTCGCATGTAGCATTTTTCATTTACATAAATGCTACTTAAGAAAATTAATAATTTTTTCCCTTTTTTGCAGAATCCGCTTATGGGCTTACTTTTAATTGGCCGCCCGCCACTGCAGACATGCCACACATGAGGTACATGTGGTACAGTCCCGCAGCGCTGCTGTCATTGTCATTTGTTTAATTAATATTGCGCCTAATTGTAGGCTTCAGATTTGCTGAGTGTCAAACATATATGAAGATAGATATCAGTCGCTTTTCAGCTAAATTGAGCACCGTTGCGCAGTCGAGCACCTCTTAAGTGAGGTTATGTACGGTGCAAAGTGAGGTTGTATTGAAGATTTTGTGCAGATAATGCAAATTGCGTTCCATTTGTAATTATTCATTGGTATACCAAGCAAACTGACAGCTACTCACAAGATTTCTTTCTAAAAATTTGATATAACTTGGTTTAATGTAAATTTATTAAATGCGCATTTATATTTTACATAAATAGACAATAATAACTATAGCTGTATATTTTGGCACGCTTTCCATTTCAACTGGTTAACATCTTTCAACTACTGCACTGCTGCGTCCGCTTGCTTCAGGGGCATGCCCTTATCATCGATCTCCACCGAGGGCACCAGGGGCGGCTTGAAGCCGTACTCCAGGTGCAAATTGCGTCCGAATTCGGGACTGCGTTTCAGGCTGTGGCCATTGCGCCAGCGTTGGAACTCATCAAATTCGCTGCCGTTGTTCTCACTGCTCGTGCTGGTTGTGGGCACGGGCCCTATGTAGGACTTGACCATGTGGGGGGGCGCCGAGGCAGCTGCAGCGGACAAGTCCTCGGGCAGTGTGTTGTATATGTAGCGCGCGCCCTGAAGCCAAGGTGAGCCCTGCGGCGGTGGCGGCGGGCGCAGGTCGAAGCGCATGTCGGCCAGGCTGAAGGTTGCCACCTTGGGCGCCTCGCCACGCACAGGCCTAACCGGAGGCTTCACTAGGGCTGCCTTGGCTGTAGTCTTCGACGCCGTTTTGGCTGTCGTCTGGGGTGCTGCCAACTGGGGCAGCAGCTTTTTCAGCATGCGCGTGTAATAGTGCTGCAGAACTTTGGGCGGGATATGAGCAACCGAGGCATGCGTCCAGGGGTGCAGGGCATTGGGATGTGAGCCAAAGTTAAAGCCGGGTGAGTGGTTCGGAGGCATGGGCATGTGTATGGCGACGGGCACATGAATGGGTATGGCCATCGGACGATCTATATACTTCTCCACAATCTTCTCCACCTCGACGGGTTTCTCGACAATGCGCTCCACCTCGATGGGCACCTGCTTCTCGACGATCTTCTCAACAATTGTCTCCACGGGGTAGGGCACAGGCTGTTCGACAATGGTCTCAACGGGATAGGGACGATCCACATAGTGCTCGACATGAACGGGAACGGGCACCGGTTGGGGGACAGCATATGGCACGGGTATGTGCTTTTCCACAATTTCCTTAATGGGACTCTCAACGATTTTCTCAACCGGTACCGGGTACGGCTGGGGCAAATGCTTCTCCACCACGGTCACTGGCTGGTAGTGGGGTGCTTCATGGGGTGCATCATGTGTTGCGTCGTGGCCTCTGGGCTGATGGGGCACATCAATGTTGATGGCTGCATGCGAAATGGGTCCCTCTTGTGGTGCGCTATCGTATTCCACTTGCTCAACATTGATGGGATTAGCAGCTAGGGAGACGTAGTTAGTCGCAGTTGGAGGCGGGGCTGGTGCTGGTGCTGGTGCAGGAGCCGTCTCTGGCGAGGCAGCAGACACATAGTCCTTAGGACTGTAGCCCGAAGAGGTGAAGCTAAAGTGATTCTGCTGATAGGGCGGCGGATGGTAAATGGTCTCATGCATCTCCACCAAACGTCCGTCCTTCTCCGTAATGAGTTTGTTGTGGATGTTCACGGACTTCTGCACCTCCACAAAGGTGTAGCCATTGGGCTTAACCAGGAGCTGAGTTTCAGGTTGGGATTGTGTGTTTGGATGGGACTTAGGGGCAGGCGCATGCTGTATATGATGCTGCGAGGGCTCGGCAGCGGCTTCCGAGACATATTCGTGAGGACTAGGCAGCTGTGGCACCGCTTGCTTTTCAGCCTGATGCGAGGCAGGCGCAGCGGTTGTCGGGCTATGTGAGTTGACCGTAACATAGACCAAACTACTGGGCGTGGGTCCACCATAGCTTGAGTGCTCGCTAGGTGCAGGCGCGGGAGCAGCAGCTGATGAAGGAGAAGCTATTGCCTGCGTGTTCAGCTTGGACTGTGGACCTTTTGACTCAGGTTGTGGTTTCTGCAGACTCAACTCCTGTTGGTAGCTCAACTGGGCAGCGGGTCCTACAAACGGACCCTCGTAGGAAACTTCCTTGGGCGGATTGGAGATAGTGCGTGCTGGTGGATTGTTGGACTCATAGTGGAAGGTGCCCTTGGGTATGGGTCTGTCGGCACTGCCCGAAATGATGGGCTTGAAGGTCTTCAGAAACTGCCTAGAGGGTGCCTCTTGGGTCTGATGATGCTGCTGGAAGCGTTGCTCACTATGGGCCTGGAAGTGATCCAGTGCCTGCTGTGGCTGTGATTCGGGCGCTTCTGGCACCTTTGCCTGCGACTCATCGTGCACAATGTGGACATTGATTTGCTGGTGATCGGCGGGACCTTCTTGACTTCTGTAGCTCTCACTGGTGTGAGAGGAAGAGTCCACGTCCCGAGCGGGGGCTGGCAGCTGACGCAGGTAGAGCTGTTGATCCATGTGGCGCGATTCCGCAATCTGATTGTCCTCAATGCTCTGGCCTTCCTCGAATTCGGCTTCCTGCTCGCCAAGTATGACAATGGGTGCACTCTCGGCGGCGACGAGAGTCTCATTGTCGTCGCCCTCGATATCGGGGCGCAGCAGTAAACTGGGAAGCACTGGAGATGCGACTGCGGCGCGATTTATGCGCAGCAGCTCATCCCGGGAGATGTGATTGCTGCCGTCCATAAACGGCTCTCGCTCGGCACTGCTGACCTTTTCCACCACGATTTGCGTATGTCCTGGCCGCAGCTCGCGTCGATACTCCCTTGTCACAGTCGTCTGGTAGCTGTAAAATGTCTCATTCTTAGGCGGCAACGTTACAGGCTCTGTGATGGCACTGGATTCCGTTGCAGTTGTGGCATGCACCACCGCTTTATTTGTAGTGGTTGCCGAGCTGCTCGGTGCATCTGTGGCTGCCTCTGTGTTTGCCTCGCTGCCGCTAAAGCGAAAGATGTCCGAGAAGCCGTTGGGAAACAGGCTGAAGAGCACCTCATTTACTGTGTCCTTCTTGGACTTCGGATTCTTATCGCGACGCACAGTTGGCCTGGGCAGCTCTTCATTGATTTCGAATTGTATATAGCCATGTCCATTTGTGGGCGTGGCAATGCTGCTGCTTTCTTCGGGTGTGGACAGCACCGTGGGCAGAAAGCCAGGCAAGCTGCAATGTAACGAAAGTGAATAAAATAAAATTGATACAAGCTGTATTAAAATTGCCAAGCTATTTAATCTACAAACTATGATTTAAAATGTTAAATGCATTTCGTATAAGTGTAACTGAATGTTCCTTGTGCGTCTAAGGAAGTATCTTTCAGTTTCGCATATCAAAATTATTTTTATTTTGAAGTGATCCGCAGGTATATTTCTCTATCGAAATGCTTATTAATTCCTACACCTGAATGTGTCAACGTAATCTTTTACTTTACATAACCTTGATAGCCACTAGCTTACACGCCCGCAAGTTCAGTTTCAATTCGTGGTGGAAGATAAATATGGAAGATAGTACGGATGGCTAATGGATCAGCAAATTTTTCAATCTGCCTTTCGAAGTAAGCTCTAGAGCAAAGCTCTATATTATGTTCGCAAATTTACAGACGAGATTTTTGTGCTGAGTCTTGTGATACCTGCAACAGCTGCTTTGCTATCTCCATCTAAAGTCTTATTAAAAGTTGTCTATTTCCCATAATCTAAGACACCTTAAGAATTTTCTATAAGTATGACTAATGTTGTGGATGTCTGAAGAAATTGCTTTTAGCTTAAATCTTTGCGTAGGCTTACCCCACAAATTGTTGCAAGTGCGTTGTCTCTTCCAGTTCCTTCGGCTCCGCTTCCTTAAGCACTTGCCTGGCTGTGGGCGGATCATTGTTGACCTGCAGCTCGCTGACTGCCTGCTTATTAAGCTGTCAAAAGCGAGTCTCATTACCTGCCAAAATCTGTCGCTAAACTTGGACTTACCACCGCCTCCCGGCTGTCACTCAAGGCGTCATCAGAGTTGTCGCTGTTGTTGTCGTTGTTGTCTTTGCTCGTTGGCGTTGTCGCATTTTGTGGTATTGTGGGCGGTTGCAGGGGCAGCGGCAGGTTGGTGGTGCCGCCGGCAGATACCGATGCGTGGGTTACTTTAGCTGTGGCCAGCAGACAGATGCCAATGACAGCGGCCGTCGCTGCTAGCAGTTCAAGTTTGGGCCACATGGCAGCGGCGCTGTTACGGAAATAGGCAAAAGAGCATTAAGTTTCGGTGTGAATAACCCCAAACTGTGCATTCCTCAAGCAAACACTTAACAGCTTTTTGCCTATGGCAAGCAGTCATGCGGGTTGGCCCCCAAAGCGGAGAAGAGCCGGCACCACACTCAACTGGCGGGTCTGTTTGATTTTTGCGATTAGTTTGATGATGATTTTTCCTAAGTGGCAGCGTTCGCCGTGGCATTTTAGCGTTTTGGCTTTTTGGCGTTTTTCTTTCTCTTTCGCTGTGTGAATTTTCCCTAAAGATTCGTCTATTGTCGCTTGTTGTTTGCCATTTATCGCTTTCATTGCGAGTTGTTGAACTTGGCTGCGTTTGGCTTGGGCTTATGTCATTGCAGTTGCCACAACGTAATGAATTATTAATTATTTGCTGCCGCTGGCCGAGAAGCCGCCTCAGCCGCCGCAGACGTCTCAGCCAACGCACATTTAATTTGGAAAATTGAAATTGATGGCGTTTAAAATGGTTCGGTACGGGTTTTCACATAGTTATTGCCGCTGCTGTTGTTGTTGTTGTTGTTGCTTTGATGGCCATTAAATATGCACGCCAAAACATATTTCACTAGCCGCATTCATGTTTGGCCCGAAGCACTTACAATGCACTTACCCGCAGCAGCGGGTTTCGCACAACATGTTGGCCAAATAACAACAACAACAATAACGAAAACAACAACCACAGCAGCAGCAACAAATCAACTAAGTAAATTTTGTGAAAACAGGTGAAGCCGAAACCAAGTTCATAATAATAAATTTCCACTCTAGATTACTTTTCCAATAATAATCTCATTTCCATAAACTTTTAAATTGATCACAATTTAAGTGCACAATCCCAAAGTGAAACACTTTTAATTGAGCGAACGCGATTAAAATTGATTTTTGGGCACGTTCAAAATGAGTTTCACGTTAATAATAACCGTTGAAAGATAATTCGAAAAAACCCTTTCACTAAATTATAACTTTATTATATTTATTAAGAAGTCCTTTTAAAAAATTACTACTCATAAAATGGGGCTGTAAGCTTTTTAAAATTATAAATTTGTTTAACAATATCTTAACATTTAAAATTTAGTTGAATTAAATAAGTTTTATACTTGCATTCCATATTTTTCTTCTTCGTATTTTGTATTTAAAAATTTGTAAGTGTGTAAGAATTGTAAAATTTAAATTAAATTAGTAGATTTTATAGTTATGTTTTCATGTTTTGGTATTCATACAGCATAATTATTCATGTTATTTATCAAGCTTAAACAGTTTAATTTTACGGAAAGTTTTTGGACTTGACGTATTTGGATATTAAAGTAAATCTCCCGCACTCATTTATCTAAAAAGGGAATTTAATGAAAAAGATTTTAATATCCATTTTGAAAAAATATGTTAAGTAAAAACATATTCCTTCTAATAAAATATAAAAAGTTTATTTCAAGGTTATATAAACTTATTTATTTTTTATACTATTTAAAATTTACAGGGTCTTCTCCGTTTGCTTCAACCTGTCAGTAAAATGTTACCCTTAACACTTATAGAATATTATTTGTCAATTTTAATGCTAATAAATATTTAATTAACGTCTTACAAAACAAAAACAAAAACAATTCGTTGATTATTGTGCAATTTCTGGAGTTAATTTCTTTAGTTTTACCAGCTTAGCCCAGTTGATTTATTTATAATTGAAATCATTCCATTTTCCCACGCTTAATGTGCATTATAAATGCAGCATTTGATTATTAATTTACCTGCATCCATTAAATATTTCGAGCGGTTGGTTCGGGGGGGATGGAGGAGCGCAGGGTAATTAAAGCACTTAATTATTTATATGGGCTGCCGCACAATTAAAACGCACTTTTAATCACTTTTCTACACACGTTTAAATCAACTGAAAACTATCCATATATTAACTCTCTATGCACTTTCCCAAGCTGTATTTTTGGCAATAATATGAGGGCTAAAGCCAAAACGCGACGTATTTCAATTGCTCAAAATGAGTTACGTTTGTCTGGCGTTTGTTCACCAAGGATTCGGAATTGTGGGAACTGTCTTCACTTGAGTTATGCTCAGCCGGCCTTTTGCCTTCTGCTTTTGCTGGGGGAGCACTCAACGTTGGCGACCCTGTCAGCTGCGCGTGCGCGTTGCGAATGAAAGTGAAACCGCGGTGGATCGCGCATTTCGTTTTCTTTTCGAGTCGATGCAGTCGAAGTCGCACTCGATGTGGATGTGGATGTGGCTGTGGATGTTGTTGAAGTTCGGGTTGTGGTTGTTGTTGTTGCTGGTGCTGTAGCTGTTGCTGTTGCGGCAGTTGCCGCTGTCGATCCTTAAACTGTAGCACCAAACTTGTCCATCCAGCGATTGCGCAAGTGCAGCTCTCCCTGCCTGGCGCCCTCTCTCTTTCTGTTTCTCGTGCGCTTGCTGCCGCCTTTGCAATGACATTTTTTTATGGCTTTCTACGGCAGCATTGACCCTGCCAAAAAGCGTATGCGGGAAAACTGTGCAACAGGTTTTTTGGCCTGGCCGCCGCTTCGGCCAATTGTGTGGAAAACACAACAGCAACAGCAACAACTATAAAGAAAAGCTACTCGCTAGTGAAAGCCCTTGTCATAGACATTTGCCAACCCGGCGTTTGCCCTTAGCTACTGTAACTTCAGTTGCGCCTCTTCAATTTTCTTGCTGTACATTTTTTTTTTTTTTTTTTTGGCTATTATCGCATATACTTATTACACCTGTGCTGATATTTATGTTTATTGTTGTTATTGTCTTTGATCACCTGCCGTTTTTCTGCTCGCATTGTTTTGTTTTTTCCATGTGCTTTTCACGATTTGTTTTACAATTTCCATTAAATTTTAATGAGCTGCATTCGACAGATTTTGTTGCTTTTTTTGTCAGGCATTTGACGTCTGAAGCTGATTGATTCATGTGCCGTTCGTTTGATATAGGGGGGGGGGGCTGCTTTGGCACCTGAATGACGCACCCGGCGGACAACCGTTACATGCGTATTTTAACTGATTTATGAAAATTGCACAGCTTTTCTCCAAAATATGCCTTGCGGTGATTCGCTTCATTTATTGCATGTCCAAAGATTGATTTTTCATATCAGCTACAGATTATTCAAATAAAATAGAGTTTAGCTCTATTTTATATAATGCTTTCATTGAATATTTCAAAAGTTGTTGCAAAGCTAAAAATATTATAATTAAAAAAAAAAGTAATAACAATTATCATACTGTAGCTTTGAATTCTGTTGCAAAACTAAAAAGACATTTAATTTAATAATATTAATACCAATAATAGCTATCTCTAGTTTTTATTATACAATAATAACTATTATACTCTAGTTTTTATTGTACTTTCATTTAAAGCTTGTTTATTTTTTATGTAATTTAAGTTCAACGCTTGCTCGCTTAACTTTCTGATCTTTATGGAGCATACTTATCTAATGCATCTCATTAGCGTTGGCTGGTGTGTGCGCTGAGAATGTTGCATGCACCATGAGCACATGCCACATGAGCAATTATTATTTGCAGGCAATTTTGGCTTTCACCAATTCGCTCTGCTGTGTGTCATTTGGATGGGGTTTCCTCTCGTCTTCCGCACAACCAAATGCGTGGCCAGATTAAAAATCGCAGTGTGTGTGCGTGTGTGTGTGAGTGTGTGTGTATGCGTGTTTGTATGTGTGCAAGACAATTATGATTAAAGACCGAGAGACTGGGATACTGAGATTATGTAACTAAGCCAGGCGAGCAAGCTGCATGCCAAGAGACTCGCATGGTTTAGTCAAAGGAAATGCGACTCATAAATTGCACGGGCCACGCCCCGAGCTGCCACCTTGCCTGCCCCACTTGGCCAACTTGGATGTTGATGGCTAATTTGCGCAGTTTCAGCATTTGGCAAAATTGTAACAAAAGTCAACTTTGAGCAGCTGCTTCTGCAATAGTTGTTGTTGTTGTTTCTGCTGCTGGCTGACAATCAACTTCCTTCCGCATGGTCAAACTTGTCGCTGGGAAACCGAAAACCAAATCGGCACAAATTGTCGAGGAAATCATTGAAATGCCAGTTTATTAATGTAAAAGCCCTGGGAAAGCTCCGGAAAATCTATTAAAATCATTTTATTTAATTTCATTTCTGGTATTTACTTATTGTATTCCCGAAAAGCGCAGCGAAGTGTAATGGCCAACCGGCCAGCCGGTTGCGCCTCACCTAGCCTCGCCCCGCCACACCATGCCACGCCCATTTTCCGTGCTAATTAAGTGCGCAGGGCAAATAAAATGAGCCAAAAGGTAATTACAATGAATGGGCGGTGGCGGCTGGCGACTCGAACCAAAAGCCAATTTTATGCAACAATCAATCAAAAACCATTTTTAATTTTGCGTTAACAATTTTTGTACTCGTATTTCATGCATTCAGCCAGCGTTGCCTTTTTTCCAATATTTTTTCAACTTTTTTTTCTTTTCTTGCTTTTTTTTTTTTTTATTGGCCTGTTGTTGGCGATTTTGCCGCGTCGCTCGTTTAACTGTGTGAAGTAAATTGGAAAATAAAGTTAAAATTAAAATGCATTAATTGAACTGTGAAATTTCATAAAAGTGTATGAAAAATTATTTGTGCGTACGCCAATGAGCAGATGATGAAGAAGAAGCAGCAGCAATGAATTAATTGTCAGCGTTTTAAGCGCGCTTAAAGTCGCGCCGCCCAAAGGGTCGCTATCTGAACTTAATAAATTTGCTCGAATAAAAGTGCGGATAATGTAAAGTGCTCGGAAAACAGAAATTGTATAACCAGCCTAAAGGCGGGATTGAGTGCAACTGGCGATGTAATTAAGTATAAATGATTTTATAAATCAATTGCTTAAAGTACGCGAAGAAAAGAATTTCATTATTTCATTAAATCGACCGAGCAATATTTATATATGTTACAATTTTATTTTATTAAATACTATTCGTGTCCTAATTATGTGAAAAGTTAACTAAAAAAATCATGGCACATTCTTTCGGGATAGACGTTTATTTAATCCATTTATAGATTCGTATTTTATATTTTCTTTTTCAGTTATGATTAATCTCTAATGATTGATGAAAAGTTAGTGCAAAGCTTAGCAAATGTAAATGGAATTTATGTGTAATAGTTAAATTGATTTATTTATGCACATATGCAAATAAAATCCCTTCAAGTGCATTTACCTGATTTCTGCCCTCGCTCACATTTGTTAATCAGCACTCATTAACACGAATATTATGAGTGATTACTCATTATTCAAAAATGCAGCCGTATAGATGTGCGGGCATATGTATAATAGACTCCAGCCACTTCCCATGCTGGCCAAGTTGGGCGATTTCACCATAAGCCAACTAATTGCGATAACTTCATCAAAATTGGCACCGCAAAAGAAGGCGGCAGGCTGAGCAACAGCCACGCCTCAATCGACAGTCACGAATGGATTCAATTGGTTGATTCATTTTTAGCTCGAACGCACCAAAACTATTTAATTTTATGAATATATGGACGTATACATAAAATTGTGGCTTTTTTGTTGGTCATCCTGTTCAGGTTGGTTCCTCCTGTGGGGCATCATATCATAAGCAAATAAAAGATTTGAGCAGCGGCGCCATTTTGGCGACTGGGCAGCCGGTTTGTGGCTTTGGGCATGACAACAATTAAAAAGAAATGCGCACAGCAATGTCAATTGGCAATTGCGGATATTTGCGGTGCTCCAATGTGTAATCCCCTTCCTAGCCCGCTCGAGTGGCAACCCCCTCGGCCACACATTGGTGCGGTGCACCTTTCGCTGGCTTGGCGCTTGGCGCGTGCGTCGACATTAGCGCTAGTTGGCGCTCGGCATCTTGGCCGGATTTGTATCGCCAGGGCCATTACGAGTTTATTCCACTCCAAAAAGGAATGTCAATTGGTCGTTGCCAGCCGCGATGATAGACTGAGCGCTTGGCATGAACAAGAGCGAGGCCGGTACGGTACGCCCCCGCTGCACTGAATTGCGCACAGCTCGTGTAATCTGGCGCCTTGGCTATTTGGCCGTCATTAGCGCCGCAAAGTGGCAAGCCGGCTAACCCCACCGCCCGGCCAGCCGCATGCCTAGCAGCCAGGTTGGTTGGCTGTCGTCGTTATCATTGCCACTGAATGCTGATGCTGTCAGCAAACAGGTTGGCTGGCCAACTCTTTAGGCCAAAAAGTGTAGCAGCAGCCGCCGCCACCACCGCCGTCACATGGCCATATCGCCATTGACCATGCCGTCCTGTGGAGTCGTTGTACTTTTGATTTCCAAGTAATAACCTGACCAACAATAACAACAACAACAACAACCACGCTGCCAGACGCAGCGGCAGTCCATGTTGACAACTCATTGGGCCAATGTACGAAATGAAAACCGGAATCTCTCGTATTGCCCCAAAGCGTCCACAAAGCGTCTGCCCGCTCGCCTGCCCCTCTTCAGCAAAATTAGCTGTGGCCTTTCCCTTTCGTTGGCCACATCAGCGGGGTGCAGCCTTTTTGATTGATATTGATGCAATTGGATGCTGCTGCATGTTGCAAACGCATTTGCAATCTTTCCTAAATCTCATTACGAATTCAGGTTGCACGTACGCTGCCAATTGTTACGCATACACTACCCGAAGAGGTCAAGCCATATTATTGATTGAATTTGAATTTTCCGACAAGTAAATGTGAAAGGAAAATATCTGTGGCATGCGGTTGTTGAGCGATTCTTGCCTACAACGGGATCGTTTAAAAACTGCATCCGCTTTGTATCACGAATGTTTATGGTCAGGACACTGACATCTAGATTTTCCAATATATTGTGTAGAGTCTTACGAGTACAACAAGACATATCATTCCAAGATCACATTTATTTAGCCGAGTTATGAAATTTAAAATTGTGAAATTAATGTAATTGGAATATCTCGGGTAATTTCAGTACGATTTTTAGAAGAGTTATAATTTTCAACTGGCAAGTTTTCAGAACTCAAGAAGGCCACTTAAAAATGACGATTCAGAACTTCAAGATCAGACTTCATTTAGCCGAGCTATATTCATTTAAAGCCCCGAAAACTTCCACTTCCGGTCTCTTCTATTTGTTGAACGTTATTCCCCTCCAAAAAAATTTTAGCTAAAACTATTTATTTTGCATTTTTATTTTTAAATTTTATTTTATGTTCATTTAGTGTTTTTGTTTTTTGCTGTCATCTGTTTTGGTTTTGCTTTGCTTTTACTTTTTACTTTATGCTAAATTGGCTATTTTGTCTGTTGCTTTGTCTCTTACACTTGTACATTTTTGCGAACTCTTCCTATTGCAGCTTTACCTGGCTTAAATTTAACAGTTATTTGATGGCCCTGCAGTTGAGCCATTGCAGTGCAATTGATTTCTGGGGCAGGGTCCGAGCTTTATTGTTTTCATATATATTTATGCTGGTGCTCCTTTTGATTTCATGTTTTGCTCTCTTCCCCCCTGTGGGGTAGCTCTGACCCAGTAATTCTTTAGGAGTTATTCGTATTCGTACTGTTAAAAATTTGTTTTGGTGGTTGTTACTTTTATCTTGGGCCTATGACTTAAACCTTTGCTTATCGTATTCTTGTATTCTCGTATGCATATTTCATGTTTCTCGTTTTGTTTTTTGTTTTTCAACACATTTTCTTTGCACTACAAATGAACTGACTTTTGTTTTAAGTTTCTATTATATATTCTGTAATATTTAAAAATTAATTTGCCACATAATGTTTTTTGTTTCACTTAAGAACTAAGTGTTACGGTATTATATGTGTTTTTGTTGTATTTATAAATAATATTTTGTAAATATTATTATAATAATTAATCATATAATAAATACAATATGCATTTGACCACTCTTTGTAATATATATTCATATATATTTATATGTATGTATATAATACCATAATTTCCATTTGTTAATAATTAATTTTGTTAGTTAACATGACGACGTGTTTGTTTTTGCTTTGTTAGTACAATTTGCAATTTTCGTTTATAAAAACCAAAAAACCCTCTTAACTCAATTTTACATGGCACACATACAGTTAGGCTATCCATACATAAGTACATATCCATCTATGCATGTTGGCATATTTCTAATTAAATTTCAAATTATATTTTTTACAATGCTTGAAACGCTTTTAACTTGTAATTGTTGTTGTTGTTTGTATTCGCTGAATTCTTGGAACTCTGCGTAAATGTTTGCGTTTGCAATCCGAATTTTGCTTAAATTGGCGTTAGGTTCTTCTAAGTAATTCTTGTTGATTTTTACATTGATCTCTTAAAATGTAGTAGTACTTTATATGGCGCATACAATACATATGTCTATATAGCTAAGATGTTATATGAAATAAATTACAAAAGCTTTGGCTTTATACACAAAAAACAGCGCGATAAGAATTTTTTCAGCTCTACTTTGGGTTTTTGAAAATATTTATTTTACAATAGCGCAAAGCTTTGCTATATTACATATAAATATTTTTTTTTTTTGTGTTTATAATATTGTTATATTATTTAGTTTCGCACTATTCAAATTGCTGCTACATGTGCCATACTATTTTTTGGGGGCTTCTTAATTTCAAACAACATTTAACACCTGCTATATAATATTGTTCTGTATTTTTGTATTTTCTGTGCTTAATTTTAGTTATTTACTTTTTATTTTGTATATTAATTTTTGAGCAATTCGCTACTTGAACATTTATGTACATTTTTGTATATTTTGTGTGGAGGGTTTTATTATTATTTTTTTTTTTCGAACAAAGTTTCCATTTGTTTTGAAATTCTTAAATTTATTTCAAATATATGCAAGAGTTTTTGGTCCTTGTAAATTATGTTAACTTAAAATGCAGACAAATAAAGTAAGTTATAATACAATTTTAATTTGATTTAGTGCAATTATTGATTTCAATCAATTATATCAAATAAATTTATAGACCCAGAAATATGTATTTTTATTACTTAATTTCATCTTTAAAATATGTGTACAAATAAAATTAAAAATTAAATTTTACCTTTACCTTTTACCTTTCGTAAAAATGTACGATTTATGCTTTAACAGCTGGACTAAAAATAATATTTTTTATTAATTTCTCAAGATGTTAATTGATTTTTATATAAATTATGCTCTCTTTAATCCTCAAAATATATTACAGCTTGTTTATATACTTATTTTTTGCCTATTCGAATGCGCAAAAATTCAAATGGAAGGAATTTGTTCGTGCTTGGTAAGTTACTTGCTTTTCATTTACATTAAAGTATAGTATTTAACTTTGTTTTTTTTTTTTTTAAGCACTCTCTCTCTGCTTCACTCTAACACTAATTGCCTCAAAATATTTAACAAAAATCAGTCACTTTGCAAGTTACTCGCTTATTTTTCGAAAAGGAACTTAAAGTACAATAATTATGTATAGCTCAACTTTTAACAATAGGTAAACGCAAAAATGTACTTTCTTTTTACTTTTCTCTTTAATATTTTACTTTAATTTAAATTTTCTTCTATTTGGCATTCAAGGTAAGCGCTGCTACTAAGTACTACACACATACACACAGTTACAGTTACAAGTACATACTTACGACTACAGTAAAAATATTGAGAATGAGTTTGTTTTAGTGGGGGATGTGGCTAATGCTTAGCTAAAAAGTTCAAGTAGATGCCTACTAAATGTGTGTGGATTAGTCCTTAGGGGTAGGGTCGTGGGGGTTTTAGCTTAGGTTTTAAAGTGGCATAATTTCGTTTTGATGCTTTTGCTAATTGGTTACAAGTACACATACACATAGCTTTAGAGTAGTAGTAGTAGTAGTAGTAGTTGTAGGCAATAGCATATTGTAGTACATATGTTATATATAGTGGATATATATGTATATATGCGCTTAGACATAGTGGGTAGTATGTAGTACATAGCATAATAAATTGCAAGAGTTAATAGTCAGCATTCTCTCTCTCTCTTTCTCTGTCTCTCTCTCGTTCTCCCTCATTCACACACGCACACACAATCGGACTATCTCGCTCTCTGTAGCGCCATTTGACTTTTTCATATGCACTCTTAAAGTTAATGAGAATGCAACAGCGTTGCGCCCAGGAGAGTAAATGCCAGGGCTAGCTCCAAGCTCCGCCCGCTCGCCGTATTATTGCTGAAGACCGGAAAGTGAATTTGCTCGGGTCGATTGAGTTCCTCCTCCTCGTCGTCGTCGATGGTGTTGGACATCTGGCGGTGGCGCTTCGTAAAGTTGACATTGAACACGGCCTCGGCAACGCCACCGGGCGACGAGACGATAAAGTAGAAAGTGCGCGGCACACGCTCGTGCATGCTGACATAGGTTAGCCGCGCCTCCTTGCAGTAGGGCGTGGGCAGATCCTAGCAAAAGAAATATAAAATATTAATGCATAAGAGTCCTAACAGTTTCGGCTCAATTTACTTACCTTGACCGAGTAGGCCAGTACGGTACTGCCATATTGATTGCCCGGCGTGAAAACGCGATCGCCGTGCAACCAGCGTGCCGCATGCGCCGGTGGATTGGCACAGAACTCCACATTGAGATGCAAGGGTGAGCCCGGATAAGCTACGGGCGTGGCATTCAAAGCAACCACTGTGGGCGCACCTGCATGGAGAAAAAGGGAGTGGAGTGGAAGTTGGATAAGTTACAGTTTAATTATTATGTTTTCATTACACAATTCTAATGCGCTTCGTTATTAACTTTTCGAATTTCTTGAGTGTCATTTGCTATTTGCCGACCGCTAAAGTTCGCTTGGCAAACTAACATAAACTTCCAATGCCACACTTCACAGTTGCTAAGCCAACTCGTACACAACTGTACTTTAGCTAAGCCAGCTATAAACACAACTGTACCCTGGCGCATCATCTGAGACTAAGGGTGCTTCGAAAAGTTTGGTGGCAACGCCATCGCCACTAATTAAAAGCGTATCACGAACAAAATGAGCCGCTTAGCCAGTGTTGTGCAACTTGCGCGGAGAAATCAAAATAAATAGAGAACAACGTGTCGTCGAGCGGAAAGTTTTTAAGAACGGCAAAACTTCATTAAAAAGTTTTTCGGCAAAAGCAAGCGAAACGAAATTTGTGTGAAACTTATGTGGGTCAAATGTTGAGAGTTGGGTTTCTGATGTGACGGCATTAGCCAACACTGTAACAATCCAATTAGACACATGTGCACCGCTTCGCTGCCGCACAATCGCTGAGCATATTCAATTATCGAAAGGCACGAAAATTTTGCAATTTTCCCCATCATTGCTCTCGGCAGACATAGAGGAGGGAGGGTGGGGGAGAGCCGTTCACCAAATAAACTTGAGCACTTTATTTACCAGGGCAACAATGGCGGCCGGGCAAACAAAATGGCCAAAAGTGTTAAGTGCAAATGAGTGTAGCGGTGTGGCGGGGTTGCCATCACTCATCACCCATCACCCATTAACAAGCTACCAACTCCAAGTTCCCAGCAGACACAAACAAAAACAAATCGAAGCACCCATCGACACTTGCCAAATTTATAACTCAAAAACTCTACTCTCGAGCCCCCGCCCCGAGCGACTAACTGTAAAATCAATTAAGGCAAGTGAATGCTCGCCGGCAGGGTTGTGTGTGCCTAAATAAGGATGAGGCTGCTAAATTATGCGTTCAGCGCCATTTTGTAGCCACTGTCGCAATATGCGCAGGCAGCTGACAACCCTACCCGCTGGTATAAAAGAAATGTAATTTATTTGACAGCTAAAACTGATTTCAGCATGCCCAAAAAGCCCGCCCCGCGCTCAAAGAGATTTACATTTTATTTTGATTTGCAGTCACTGAGCCGTGTGGCAACATTTTACCCTCGGCTCAGGTGGCAACTCCGTTGGGGGTATGGCCCCAGGGTCAGCGCCTGGTCATTGGTGCGATTTTTAATTTGATTTAAGCGCTAGGCGCTAAATGAAATGAGTTTTGAGATTTTCGGCTTGGGAGAGGAGTGTACAAAATTAAAAATACGATACAGACTAATATGTTGTTTAAGATGAAAGATTAGGGGAAGATTGGTTAAGGTGCGGAAACTTAATAGAAGAAATATAATTTATATTTTTTATAATACATTTTTAATGATAAATATTTTAATGGTTGAATGGGATAGGTATATATGCACTGGAAACCTCAGATCTCTTGTATGGCACCTTAGATAAGCTCTATCAGCTTCATTGGGATAGTCTACTTATTCTACTAGTTGGTTATAATCATTTTATTAGGGTTACAATTAATCCTTTGCATACTCCACGGAATAAAAGATAGATCCGATATCGATAATCTGAAATGAACTGACCTGTATGGGTATTGTTAAAAATGGGTATAAGGGTATATTGTATTTGTGCAAAATTCAAATGTATGTAACAGGCAGAACGAAGCTTCTCCGACCCCATAAAGTATATATATTCTTGATCAGCATCAATAGCCGAGTCGATCTAGCCATGTCCGTCTGTCTGACCGTCCGTCCGTCCGTCCGTCCGTCCGTCCGTATGTATGAACGCAAGGATCTCAGAACCTATACGAGCTAGAGACTTGAAATTTTAGATGTAGGCCCTCCTAGTGCCTGCGCAGATCGAGTTTGCTTCCGATAATCGATAATCGATCGGGAGCTCTCGACTTGAGCCTCTTACCTGTTTTTTTTTTTTTTTTGGGTAGATAAAGTTTGCCCAGCTCTCCCTTCTTGAGCAAGCCTTGAGCAAGAGAGTTCATTTAATATTTTATTATAGGAACTTATTTTTGCACAAGTAATAGTAATAAAGTTTAATAATAGTTCATTCAGAGCTTCCAAAAGAAAGTATTTTGTATTTCGATTGAAACTTTATTATTCCTTCAGTTATTAACAGGGGCATCTAGTTCAGATTTTTTGTTAACATTAAAAATGTTATTACTTGCTTGTAATTTATAAAGACGACGTCCTATTAGTTTTTGCCAGTTTCCAAACTTTAGCTAGCTGCCTGGCTCTTCATTAATGCAATTAGGAAGCGCTTTAGTTCATTGCCTGGCCTCAGCATCGGAGTGTCCGCTGGGGCAGACGGCGCCTCCTTTCGTTTTCACAATGCAATTTGCATGTTCTACCTACTTTTGAGGCGTGCAACTTTTTGGGCGCGCCCATCCCATTACCTACGCCCAAACGGACAACATTTACAAGTAGAGTAAAATTAACATTTCAACAATAACAACAAGTTGGCATGTACTACAATTGGTGCAGCGGCACAACAACAATAACAATGAGAGGCTGCCCTGGCCCCAAAATAATAATAAAGTTTTACAGCTGAAAATTACTCAATTCCCGTTGCTTGAAAAAGTTAACTTAATTTTTGCAGTTGCCTTTTGTGAGCAAAGTTTCCTCCAAAGAGGTGCAGTAGCAACAACAAATGCAGAAACGTTTTGTAACACTTTGGCGGCCCGGTCGCCCGAGTGGGCATACAATGGACCAGGCAGCGCAAAATGACAGGGTTGCAAAAGTTGTCGAAGGCTAAGGGGTGTGCCGGCAACTCGAGGGGCTGCGGGGCAATGCGCGCCCAATTGATTGCACGTCGCAGAAAGTTTTTTTTTTGCATAAAGTGCGTGGGTGGACGTCAGACGTGGCGAATAAGCGACCAGTGCTGGAAAACGCACTCGAGTCTTTTGGACGCCGAAAAAATAATAATGACCGAAAATAATTGAATTTTCGCATTCATTCACGTGTTGCAATTACTTTGTCAGCCGCGCCCGAAATTCGACCTCTCTTTCTACGCTGCCTTTCTGTTTCTCTCTCTTTCTCTCTCTTTTTTCCTGGGCTGGCTTGTTGTTTGGCCATCGTGTTGCATCACTTTTTTGCCCTGTTATTGTTTTACTATCACCGCTTCGCACTTTTCCCCTTTGATTATTGTGCGCTATGTGCGAAAATTGTGATTTTCCCAATTTTTCGATGCCTTCAGTTGCTGCTGCGCTTTCCTCAATCAAAGTTCTTGATGCGCGAGAAGCCTTTCACGAATGCTGTGTTAAAATGCTTGTTAATTGGAGAGTGTGTGGTGAACTTTACCAAATACTGAATGAAAGGAATAAGGAATTTTTTGGTAATAAATATAATTCAATAATAATAATAAATATATTCAATATTTTAGAATTACTTACTATTAATTTTTTTTATATATTATGAGTTATTATATATTATTAATTATTTATAGAAAGTCATGTCTCATTATTTAAATGAAAATTTCCAATTAATAAAGTACATACTTAAGATTTTGAAAGCACTTATTACTATTTGGAACAACGTTGACGACAAATCGTTAGCATAATGCGTGTTCAGATTAACAATACTTTGTAGCATACCCTCCCGCACACACCCGGACACCCGCACACACACAGAGAGTGGGGCAACCAAATGGCAAGTCTGTTGGTAGAGCTCGTTGGGTGAACCACCCGGTGACAAGCTCTTTCGGCGTTGGCTCATTAATTTTTAAGCAGTTTGCGCTTAGGTGCGAAAAAGTTGGCAAACTTAAGATAAATCTGGAACGCGTTTGAAAGCGGTTGACGGTTTGGTTTTGTTTTGCTTTGTTTTGGGTTACTTGTCAATGGGGTTTATCCATAATTCAAGGCGAACGACAATTCAATTAAAATCGCCCCAAGGTGGGCAGCACAAATGAGAGGACGCGACAAATGGCTAACTTCGCACGATGATTGTCAAAGCATCGCACGTAATTTCAATTCGCGCTGACTGGCAAGTGGCAAGCGGCAAGCGGCAAGAGGCATGTAGCAAGTAGCATTTTTGCTAATTTTATTTGCAGCTTTTTGCATTAAGTGCACACAATGTTTATAAATTATTTAAAAGCACAACAATGCAGAGGGTGTGGAGCGGGCGGCAGGCAGGCAGGGCAAATGCCTCTGGCCAGACAACTAACTGAGCCCCGCTGCACCTCGGGGCAACTATTGCATAATTGAATATTATGATTGTTATTTTCACTTGCTGGCTGTCGGATTGGCTGTTATTTCAGTATTTCACTCTCTATCGCTTTCTGCATTAATGTTTATGCATGTGAGTGTGCTTTTCATATCTATAAGCGTTTTTGCTGCCACACAGCCCGTCCGAGTTTTCATGGCCCAGACTGCGGCCCCAGGGGCATGTTTTCCAGTTGTTTATGTCTTTAAGCAGCGCTCACCTCTAATTGTCTGTTTTGTTCTGTTCTTTATTTTTTCTCTTATTTTCCTACCGTTCTTTTTGTTCTTGGGTGGAAAAGCTCTTAGCCCTCTATTCCATGGCAGCTTGCACTTTCATGTGTCTGTCTTGACACCCGAGGGAAACTGAAGCTAAGCAACAGTGGCTGCCAACTGCGCCCACTTTTTCAGTTGGTTCATAAGAAAATAAAGAAGCAATTGCTAGATCTTTTGGGAATTGTAATAAATAGCGTGTAGTTAATAATTACTAAATTAATGTTTCTGTTATTAGTTTGTTGTTCATTTTGTTTGTAGGACTCTGCAGCATCAAAATTTTCAATATATTACCTTTTTAAATTATTTAGTATTGAAAACGATTTAATTACGATTTTAATATTTCCATTGTTTTTCTCGCGTTTTAATTTTAAAAGTAATGTTTCTTTGAACTACAAATATATC